GGAGAATAAATAAGAGAGGAATACAGGAAAGCCACAGCCACCACGTGCCTTCATTATCTCACCAATCCCCCCGTCATTTCTTTCATTCACTTTTCTCATTACTCACTTATTCAGAATTGCTATCCAGCAACCACTATGGCTCATGCCTGTGTTTGGTGCTGAGGCAGCAAGTTTGGCATGGTTTTCTTATCATCACAAAGTCTCCAGTTCTACGGAGAACTTAAATTTACCTTGAACACACTGGAATAATGTCCAAATATTATAGTATGGCATCTATACAGTGGGAAGACCAGGAGATTCGCTAAGGAATAAAACAGGGAAAGATACAATATAGTATAGATATCAGGGTGAGTGACAGCAATAAGAGCAGAGAAGATCATCCCAACAGAGGCTCTCTCCCCCCTCTTTGTGTGTGTGTGTGTGTGTGTGTGTGTGTGTGTGTGTGTGTACATGTGTAGGCTTTGCAAGCCAGAGACAGGAATGCTAGGAAGAGAATTCCCATGACAATAGAGCAAGAAGCCTCTGGAAAGCTGTGGAAACAAGAACAATAAAAACACTGCTTTGGTTTGGAGATGGGTTAGTAAATTCCTGTAAAATTGTAAATGCAAAAGAAAGGTTTTGACATCTTCTAAATAAGTGACACACTTCCCATTTATACTATAAGAATAGTTGCTCTGGATGCAGGATGGGGATGGGTTGCAATAAATGGAGAAAGACCTTCCAGGAGAGGCTTTTGGCATATTCTAAACCAGTGGTTCTCACCCTTCCTAATATTGTGGCCCTTTAACCCCCAACATTGCTACTTCATAATTGTAATTTTTGTACTGTTATGAATAATAATGTAAATATCTGATAAACAGGATATTTGATTTGTGACCACTATGGGGACTGCAACCATAGGTTGAGAGGAGGCAGGTGTCCAAACAACAATAGAAGAGAAGAGAATGGAGAACATTAAAGTCATCATCGTTACCTCACTTAACCTTGTGAGGCTAATTGTCAGATTATTCCCTCATCCCAGAGAAGAGAATACTGATGGAGTAGGCTCATGGTATGCAGCTAAGAAGAGGCAAAGACATGTCTGAGATCGAGGTAACATTTCGGGCTGAACTCTAACTCAGAAGCCCCTACCTACTCTTTCTCCATCTCATTCTCCACTCAAACAAAAGTGTTGAGGCTGCCTATATTTTGCTTTTTTGTCCTCTATTATCTTTTCAATAGCACAACAGCCCAGTGCTTGATACCTTGGAAGAACGTAGTCAGTGTAAAACACTGTACACCGAATCCTCTCAAATAGTCCTCATAAACCTCCTTAGTGCCTCAGAAAATGAGGCTCAGATATGGGAAAAAACTTGTTCAAGGTCACACAGGAAAGCAGTAGCAACCACTGCAACCCACTGGTCCTATTGTCCTCAAGTAGCCCCAGAAATCTCATTTTTTGGGTACTTCAAAGATGGCAGTAGTCAAATGCCACATGCTTCCTGACTTAGAAAAGAGCACAGGTCTTATTTTTAGATGAATATGAAGAGGGTACAGTGAGTTAATATGGAATCCCAAATGCTACAAGAGAGCTGTTTCCTACAGCACAGGGATCTGCCTTTCCTGGTATTTTTATCTATTTCTCCTTGACTTCCCTATACTTTAGCTTTTGCTTGCAAGCCTGGCTGCCTCTCACATGCTGGGAAGACCACAGGGAACTTCTGACTCACTGTATTTGCCAAGGAGGAGCTTGGATCGCAGCCATGGAGATGGAGATGGGTGAGTGCTGGGATTCTGAGGAAGAGGAAGGTAGGAAGCATAGTCAACCTAGATGGCTGAAGCCATCCCTGTGACTGTGGCACACACCCTTGGGAAACAATGAAGGGGAAGGCCTTGGGCAAACGGTTCAAACAAGACAGAGACTAAATAAGCAAGCACAATTGAAGAGAAATTCCCACCACTGCGCAGAACAGAGAGAAAAGAGTTCTAGCACAGGATTTGACCAGCTCCTGCTCTTCCTGCTACTGTTCCACATTTCAAAGAATAGAATCCTGGGGAAATGAATCTTAACTAATATCAAAGAGTGACTTGACTTGTCAAGAGAGATGAGATTACCCACTCCCTAGTCATCCTCAGTAGTTTAGCTCTGTTTCAAAGTCTTCACTCCACCCGTATCTGCCTAAATTCTCAATAGATTATTAATCAATTTTAATCTTTAGGACTCTCTTTTAGACTGTTAGTCTTACATCCTCATTTTATACTTCTGGAAATTAATACACAGTGATGTCCAAGTCACATGTTTAATATGGCACCATTAAGTGTCAGGGATAGAATTCAAACTCAGGTAGCCCAGTATCAGAATCCATGCTTTTAAATTGGTGTCATGTTGTTCTTGCAGTCCCAAGAACTCTCAGGCCATTCTTGGCTCAATTTTATACCATGTGTTTTCCCTTCAAATGTGGTGAGTGCAGCAGACTCTTCACATCCTTAGTATACGAAGAACAAAGAGGGCACACGGTCCTTGCATGCAGAACTGTAGCATCTGAAGAACTGAACAGTGATGCCAAGTTCACTTGGCTGGAACAGAGGCTTTGCCATGACCTGGTCCACATTATGTTTTCAATGAAGGATTGTCAGTAGCAGCCTCAAGAAGAGCAGCAAGACTGACAGCCACAACAAGGTCAAGTGCATTATCAAAAATGTGACACCAAGGCCAGTGTCACCTGCTTGTGATCCAGCACAGAAGGGAGGGAAGTATGCTCTGGGTTCTAAAACCATTTCTTGCCTCGTTCGTCTCTCTTCTTCACTGCGTGCTCTTCCCTTGCTGATTTTCATCAACAGATAGCTTCATTTTTTTATATAGAACAACCTCCACATGGATAAGGATTTTTAATCTGTCACTTGCTTTTATCCCCATGTGGTTGCTACTTGTAGAACTGTTTGTGGTATGTACTCACAGAGGGGAGAAAATAAGGAAAGACTTGCTAGGAAACGGCTGGAGTGAAGAGCAGGAAAGGAAGAAGAGGGGAAAAGGGGGTGATGGGAAGAGAAGGAAAGAAAAGGAAGAAAAGAAGGTGGCAGTAAATAGAGGCAGAGGGATAAGGGGAAAAAAGAAACAGAAAAAAAGAAATGGGCAAATAATCGAGTAAACACAGGATCCTGCAAAGGAAAAGAAGTGTGTGCCAGAACTCTCAAACAGAGGAAGAAGGCGGTGCTATTGTTGGGGAGAAGTAGAAGGAGAGATGAAGGAAGTGGTTTGACCATTGCTTTAGCTAGCAGTGCTAGGGAAGGATGGAGAGGATGCCACAGCCCTGTTTACCCTCACTATCGTGAGAACACAGCCAGGCCGGCTAGAGTGTCTGGGGGGCAGTGAACCAAATCGTTTATTTCAAGTCCTCTTGCTTGCCTTTGCTTTTCTTTTTAAGTTTAACTCCAATTTATAGGGTCCATGCTCAGTGATGGATGTTTTTCCAATTAGCTGTAAATAGCCCAGTCCTTCTGAGGAGACCCACCATTCCCTGGTTCTAATTTTGGCTGTGGGATTGGAGGAGGGAGAAGACAAGTTAAGAATCATCGATCACCAACTTCTAAATCTGCAGTGCAATAGATCTATAGAGCTATGGCGTAGGATAGACTGAGAAGCACAATCTATTATTTTAAGGGTTGTAGAGGCTGAAAATTCCTCCTGGGGGATGTGTTAATGGAAGTACTTCCCATATGGAGCCCTTTTTCATGACAGGTACCAAGGGTAGGGAGACTAGAATTTAAGCAATGGGAACTGAAGTTACATTAATAATGTCTACCTCTATTTCCCCCTTGCACTGTGATGACTTTTTATATAATGCAATAAAAATCAATAGCCAACTCCAAAAGGCAGTTGCAGCCTTTACAAAGCCCATTCTACAGATGACAGAATGTAAATAACTTGCCTAAGGGCAAAATGTGCCCAAAGGTATGTGATTCATGCCATACTATGAAATTTCATTGTGAACAGATGCTCCTGCCTTGGGCAATGATTTAGCTGTAAAAGTGGTGGATGGCAGAAATTTTGACACATCCATAACCCACCAATATTAATAATTAATCATAGTTCTCATAATGACAGTCAATGCCAGGTGACAGGCATGCCTTCACCTGCAAGATAGGACTTTCCCTTTTATTGGGTAGTCAAAGCCTGGCCATCTTTGCCAATCCTTAGCATTTAATACATGTTTACACCCCAATGTCTCTTCTGCTAACACCCCTTCACATTTGATAATTTCCAGCCTTAGGTAATACTCAAATATGAGGGATTGCTTTTATATATGTTCTCCTGAAATATGCTGGTTTTTTTTTTAATATACCCCACTGAATCATCAGAGAATTACGGATTTCAGCTGCAGGGGCAGCACTGTAGTGATTCTTGTTCCAGAATTTTGATAACCCTCATATCAACTGTCATTGTGATGAATAAATGTTGAAGACACTCTGGAGTAGGTCACACAATGCCTTGTTGATACGGGCCAACCACAGAACTTTCAGATCTAGGGAAACAAAGTATCATGGGCAAATGTTAAATTCTGTCCTGCAGAACCTATATATTCACACTTGATAATATTCCCTTAACACTTTTCTGCTAAGAATTGCAAAATTAAATTGGTAGCTCATGCTGAGAACTGCCCTGCTGCCCATGATATGGATTACTCTGAACACATCTAACCTAAATATGATTTATTTTTAGCACTAGTTTCTTTTTAATATGGTTAGTTATTTCATTTCCTATACTGAAATTTCAACATGCACACATTTAGGGGAAATTGTCCCTAATTATTTTGAGGGGTGGGATGTAGTGCATGGAAAAAGTAAGGAATGAACCAGAAAAGGCAGGATGGGAGATCCGCAGTGTGACCAGTCCAGGGGATGCTGAGCTCAGCGCTAAATGTGTTGAAACAAATTTACATTTGTGACTTATCATGAAATCTTGTCCCTGAACTTTGTAGATACACATGGCAGTTCTGGAACCTTCCCAAGGACTTGATTACCTTTGCTGCGACGGCGGCTGCGATACTGTTCTGTGTAGAACGTCAGCTGTGTTTCATCATCTGCTTCTGAGCCTGATGTCCCCTTGGTTCTCCCAAAGCTGATTCCCCCTGCAGAGAAGTACCATCAATCAGTCAGCCTTTCAGGACTCTAGAAGTTTTTCAAAACCCTCAGCCATTCTGGAAACCCACAGCACTATCCTCAAGCTTCTTGCTGCTGATCCATAGTGACCCAGTAGTCTTCATGATTAATGGAAGGAGTTGAGATAGGCAGTGAGGTAGATCTGGGTTCTAATCACGGTTCAGCAGCTTCCAAGGTGTCTGACCTCGAGGCGCCATCTCACCTTTCTAAGCTCTGAGCTATTTCTAAAAAAAGGGAAGTAACTTTTAGTCTTGTGGACTTGCTTTTAAGATGAGAAAGAAATATGCCATGTAAAAAAGGAAGTCCACAGTGTGTACTAAATAATAGGAAACTACTATTCTACATATGATGAACTTAACTCTTAAAAAACTCTCCAGACAGCTTAATTTCACATACATTTCAACCATGGGCTTTCAATATGTGAGGCTCAAAGTCTGACGCAGGGACACAATGATAAATGCCACTCAGTCCTTACCAGCCAGGGTATCATAAGCTAGTCAGAGGGACAGATGGGATCCTTAGGAGCCTTAAACTTAATTCATGGCTCATGTTTTCCACAAAAGGACATTCTAGGAATGTGGGAGGGAGCAATTCATTTTAACTTGGAGGAACTAGGGAAGTTTTATGGAGGAGTGAAGATTTAAGTCATGATTTGAAGGATAAATGTGGCTTTGGCATTAGAAAAGGGAGTTTCCAGGAATGGCCTTGTGAAGCATCCCTGATGGCAGGTAGCTGGGCAGATATAGGCAACACCAAACCCAGGACTGAGTAAAGATGAAGTGCTCATACCACGCTACAGAAGGCTTGAGTGTTTCACCAAGGTGGGGGTGTATAAGAGGGCCTTTTTTAAAACTGTCACAGAAAGTCTCAGAGCAAGAAAATGAATTGATTATATGTTTGAATCAAAAAGGATACTCTGGGCACCCAGGAAATAGAATGTGTGCCTGACTGAGTGAGCAGCTAGAAGTCTATGTAATGACCGAAAAGAACAGGGACAAGATGAAATGGGGACATGTACAGAGTAGATGGGGAAAGGGGATGGATATGAGAACTGCTGCAGAGATAGACCCAGAGGAACATGCAGGAAAGGAGGACAATGATTCATAAGCTATGAATAGTTGATTACCAAAAAAAGTGAAACAGGAGTAGTAAGAACAGTGTTCAGACACTACAAATCTATAACTCTGAATGGAAGAGTGCAGGAGTTGCCATTCTTAATCTTCATGTTTTTGAGTTTTGTAGTTGCTTATTTATTTGCTTATTCATTTATTTGTGAGTGAGTGAGTTAAGGAGTTGGGTCAGGTTTTTAAGATGACACATATGTAGCTCATTCTGGCCATAAAGTCTTGATCCACCTCCTCTGCCTCCCAAGTGCTGGGATTACAGGCATGATGAATTGTGCCTGGTACTATTTCTTAGAATTTTTTAAGGATAAGGTATTGAAAGATACGGATTAAGACACTGAGAAATTCCATCCCTAGAGAAGAATCAAGGAAGTCAGAGACCCAGAGCATGGGAAGGGTAGGTATATGGGCAGGGAGAAGAGGGGCTTTTTAAGAAATGGTACATCATTTGTACAGATAATGCTAATGTCATTTGAGAGGTGGGAACCACAATTAGGAAAATACTTCCATAAGACCTAGCTATGTAGTCAAGGTTGCAGGATGTTTTCTTGCTTAGTGACTGATAGGGGAAGACCAAGCCCATTGTGGATAATGCCATTCCTGGGCTCATTGTCTTATGTTCTGTAAGAAAACAGACAAAGCAAAAAAAAAAAAAAAAAACCATGAGGAGCAAAATAGTGAGCCACACTCCTCCATGGACTCTACATCACCACCTGTCTCCAGATTCCCACCCTGTTTGAGTTCCTGTCCTGGCTTCCATAATGATGGACTACAGTGTGGGAGTATAAGTCAAATAAGCCCTTCCCTCCCCAACTTTCTTTTGGGTCATGGTGTTTTAGTGAAGCAATAGTAACCCTAACAAAGACAGTCTCCTTGAAAGATCTCCAGAGGGAACCTTTGAAAATACACTATTAATCAAGAATCTAAGTGCCAAGTTCTGTGTAATGTGTATTTCTGACCTCCTTCCAAAGTCACTGAATTCATAGGGTGATAGTTTTGTGATATTTACTTTACAAAAGAGTTAACTAAGCATCAGAAAAGAGAAGTGAGTTAGTAATACCTGAAGCTGGACCTTTCAGTCAGGGGAAACAGGAGTCATTTACAGCATTGTCTTTCAGTGTAATGGACCATTCATTTAGAAGATAAATAATCATTCTCTTGTTCCTCTCTTTAAGACAGCATTTTCTTCTTTTTTGTCATTTTAGCATTGCTGGGGATTGAACTCATGGTCTCATTAATGCTATCAAAGTGATCTGCCACTAAGTTATCAACTCAATATTCATTTTCATGAATGAAAAGGTACAAGGGTAGCCTCAACTGATCTTTGCTCCAGTATCTATCATCAGACACTGTCTCACACAAATACCTCCTCAAGCCTGGTGAAAATAACAGCAGGTCTCCAAGGCAGCAGAAGACCCCAATTCCACCAAATGAAACATCCCTTTGAAAGGCTTTGAGAAGGAGCTGCTGGAGACCCTATGGAGTTCTGGAAGTAACTGAACAGCAGAGGGCCAAAGGCCAGTAGGACTTTAAATGTTACCATCGAAATACTTTATGGTCATAAAAATTAAACAAAAAGCAATAAAGAAGTAGGTGGGAGAGGAGGACTTTTGTTCATCTACTTATTTCTCAGCTAGAAGGAAATGAAGATATTTGACAAAACAACTCCAAGGACCAAGGGGAGCATCTTCCTACTGTCTGGTGTATTATGGGCAGCAGAGTAAAAGGGAGTATTGCAAGGCTACAGGACAATACCAGACCCCCTTCTGTCCCTCAGAGCCATGCCATAACTTTCACCATTCCAGTGAAATTCTTTGTATCTCCTACCCATGGCTCTACCTCCCTTACTACCTGATTGTTTATTTTCCTACTTTGACAAAGGAATGAAGTACTCTGCCCTTCCTGGAGTGTATGTCTATGGTATACATGATTCAGACAGAATTCTCTCCCTACTGTGATAGGCTAGTGGAGGTGACAGTAAAGTTACTTGACAATTCTATTGCAGTAAGGAAAACTACACCAGCAAAGTGCTATTTCTCTACAGGACTTTGGGCTGAGCCTTTAACACTTGCTGGTTCATGTTATCCGCAGGAGAGCCTAAAGAGACAAGATGCTACTTTAATTTTCATTCTCATGGATGAGAACAGAACGGTGCAGGGATATTAAGTGATATGGTATGTCCAGGGTCACACAGTTTATAAGTAATAGAACCACCATTCATATCTCAAAAAGAGGCTCTAAAGTCTATTTCTTTAGGCTGTGTGCTGGCATGCAGTAAGATATGGACAAATATCTCATGTAATGTCCACATCCACCCAAGTGACAGTATCAGAAACCATTTTATCTAAATAGTGAGAAGCAAGGTTGTCAGTGGGGAACTGGGGTTGCAGTTGAATCTGTCTCCTTCTAAAGTCAGGTTGATAACTAGAATAGCATGGAGAAGGCATGTGTTTGTGTGTTTATGTGTGTGCACATGCAAATGTGCATGCTCGTTTGGGGAAGCCCGAGTGTGAGCAAGGAATCCATATGCTAAACACTGTAGCTTAGCAGGGCTTTTCCTGTATCCTATCATGGGAACATATTTTCTACTTCTCCTAGCTTTTTCTCTGAGTTTCGAAATAGTAACTCCCCTAACAACACTAATCAGCTTAGGAAGATATTTGTGCTTATCCACCCTTCCATATGTCTCAAAGCACAGAGACCATGCCTCTTAAGCTTCCAAAAGGAATAGTTGCAATTCACCTTTTTTTTTTTTTAATTTTATTTTCCAGTTTAAATTTAGATAAGAATCAAGGTTGCTTCACAAGTCAGTTCCAGGTCCCTCTCCCATTCCCTCCCTTCCTCCCGTGCCCTCCCCTCCCCCCCGTTATCCTCTCATTTCTCCAGGGAGGGTGAGGCCCTCCATGGGGGTGTCCATAGTGTGTCATTTCATATAGGGCAGGGCCTAGACCCTTTCCCAAGAGTTCTGGGTGAGAGTGCTCCTCACATTGTTCTATTGGAGTCCAAAGTCCGTGTGTAAACTTGGGATGGGTACTGATCTGCTGCCCAAGGCTCAATAGATTCCCTAGGCCTCTTCACTGACACCCAGATTCAGGGGGTCTTGATCAGTCCCATGCTGGCTTCCCAGGCTAATGCCTGGGATTCAAGAGTTAACCTTTGTCTGGTCAGCTGTTTCTGGGGGTTAAACCAGCCCAGTCTTAATTCCTTTGATCATCAGTCCTCCCTCTCTGTTACTGGCTTTCTTGAGTTCAGCTCAGTACTTAACCAAGGGAGTCTGCCTCTTCTTCGATCAGCCACTAAATAAAGTTTCTGTTTCCCAGACTCTCTGGCCATAGGATTGTAGGCTGGCACTCCCCAGATCTATGTCTAAAATCCATATATGAGGGAGTACATGCCATGTTTCTCTTTTTGTGACTGGGTTACCTCACTCAGGATGGTTTCTTCTAGTGTCATCCATTTGCCTGCGAATCTCATGATTCCATTATTTTTTTCTGCTGAATAGTACTCCATTGTGTAGATGTACCACATTTTCTCTATCCACTCTTCGGGTGAGGGACATCTAGGTTGCTTCCACGTTCTGGCAATTACAAATAAAGCTGCTATGAACATAGTGGAACAGACCTCTTTGTTGTATGAATGGGCATCTTTTGGATATATGCCTAAGAGTGGAGTTGCTGGGTCTTGTGGTAGGTTTATTCCCATTTTTCTGAGGAAACTCCACACTGATTTCCAAAGTGGCTGAACCAGTTGGCACTCCCACCAGCAATGGAGGAGTGTCCCCCTTTCACCACATCCTCTCCAGCATAAATTGTCATTGGTGTTTTTGATTTTAGCCATTCTGACAG